GAGGTTAAATTCATGGAGCTTTTAAAACATACATTATTACGTTGTATTTTAGCGTCCTGTTGCACTGATTTTCATCTATGATATGTATACAGTGGCCGTCTTGTAGTGCACTCAATTTCACCTGTTACTTCACGACATGTTTCAGCAACACAGTGCCATCATCAGGTGCCTTAATTACGCTAAGCTATTGCATTGCTTGCCATTATGTCTTTGTAAAATTATTTAAAAAGTGTGTATTCATCAACTATAATAAATTTACACACACTAAAACTTGTTAAGATTATTCATCTTATGTGTCTTAATTAAAACTTGCGTGTGGTTCTTCCATTATGGGGGTCGTTTTTCTTATATTCTGTGTAAACCGTGTCTTGTGATGTGTTTACACAGAATATAAGAAAAACGACCCCCATAGTGGAAGAACCACACGCAAGTTTTAATTAAGACACATAAGATGAATAATCTTAACAAGTTTTAGTGTGTGTAAATTTATTATAGTTGATGAATACACACTTTTTAAATAATTTTACAAAGACATAATGGCAAGCAATGCAATAGCTTAGCGTAATTAGGGCTCGTGATGATGGCACTGTGTTGCTGAAACATGTCTTGAAGTAACAGGTGAAATTGAGTGCACTACAAGACGGCCACTGTATACATACATTATTACATTTGAGTAAGATTAGTCTGAAAGTTATAAAGATCTGCTGTGCTGTTAACATGTATGTTGGACACTTTCTATTGTATCCTATTATTCAAGAAATGTCACTGGTTCACGTCTAACTTACAATGCATCTCATAGTATAGACACACAACACAACAGGAAGAGACACCCAGCACCATAAAATACACGAGCATGTAGATGGGGACTACACATCGAATATTATAATCACAGAATGGAAGCACAGCAGTTTCCACCAACAATTTTTAAACACTTGATAATGACCAGTGTCAGTCAAAACATGTAGTGCAATGTACAGAAACTTTTAAATAAGGTTTGAGATATGCATTGTGTGCTTACGTAATAAACTTTTATAAGTTTTAGAAGGACGTTTTGCATATAAGATAGTGAACCAGTGATATTTATTGAATAATAAGTGATATGCAAGTGAATGCTATAATATAATATTACTGCATCCTTTTTGGTTAAAAGAGTAAATTGTTTTGGAAGCTGACTGTGAAAAATATTCTGTATAGTTCATTAAATGATGCTAATATTTATCAGTTTACACTTGAATAGTACCATCTTGTAGTCAGTTAGCAGCAAATGTCTTTCTTTTGATTTATTCCCTTCCACTTCAAGCACTTTTGTAGGCAAGAATATGAGCATTTCAAATAATTGAAGATCACGGATTTCTTGGGCATGACGCCATATAGTCTGGTAGAATGAATGTTACCCACATTTCTGGGGAAACTGCTCCTCCTTCTTCTTTGCAGAAAACAGAGACAGCAGGTCCCTCTGAAATGTGGGTTATGTTCTCCCACACTACATTACAACCTTCGCAGTCACCACCATGACAGCCTAAGGTCTTGATTTAAGACGGTTCTTTGTGAATCCAAATGCAACAATGAACACCCTATTTCTTTGTACAGGACTCACACAGGGGTGTGCTGGAGCTGGTATACACTGGTTTGGCCAAACAGGTACCTAAAATTAAAAACAGATTTGAAAACAAAGTGCTCTAAAAGTACTCAGCTTTCAATCATTTACTATTCTGAAAAGTTCGCTTATAACGAATTTTGCAACTGATTATTGAATATGAAAACTGGTAGTTGTAGTTCTGGCAGCACACCCCTAGACTCAGGGTCACCAACTGAACTGCATACGCACATAGCTTGAAACTCAAATACTCTGAAGCTTCATTTTAAAAAGCATCAGCAACAAAACAAATTATAGAAAGTGGGTATATGTTTACACCTCTGCCTTCCCCAAGACAACAGTCACATTGGCAAGAAGGTGACTCACTATCATGGCACTGATTTACCAGAGAAGTAAATCAGATTTTAATCTGAGCAGCATTAACATAATAGAGCTGCCATGATACAAAATGGCTGAACATAACAATGTAATACAAATAACTGTATAAACAACCACAATACTTATGGTTTTTAACATACATGAGAGCGTTCATTACTGGCAAGAGCAGTGATTATTCATTATGCTTGTCATGGAAGTTGTTCCAAGTAACAAGGAAGCAGCTAAATCTACAAGTTTTCCAATTTGGAATCTGTATATCATACAATGGTGTCAAAGGGCATACAATGTTTTACAAACTACTGCTATTTGTTGAAGACCACAAAGATGAAATGGTGTGCAGAGTTATGCACATTGTATGTGAAGAAAGCATATAATATAACCCATGCAGTTTAAGAGTAGAAAACAGATTAGTACAATTACCTCAATAGTTATTTTGTGGGCTGGTGAGTGTAATCTACCACTTCTGCATTAGGTTAACTGAATTACAGAGTGGGGAAGGCTGTAGTCACTTGTTATTCTGTGTGTACACAGGACAGCAAATGATGGAGTGTCAGCCCATCATCAGGGTTTCAAATATAAATTTACCTGAGAGATTAAAATAATTTTTACAACAGTAATGTACAAGTTTTAACATTCTTTTCCCTTCCTTGCTCTTGGTTTCATTATCATGTAAGCTGAGTGGACATATGGCTCATACATTCATAACAAACTTCAAATCATTTTCATGTTGTTCAATATGCATGTAGCAATGACTTTCTGCACTGGTTATAAGACTTGATATTTTTTCAATCCCTGTCAATAATACTTTTGTGATTCCTTGTCAGAATGTGTAAAAATGATTTCTGTACAATACTTGGTTCTCAATAGAAGGCAGACCATTGTCTGTGACATGTATTTCAGTAGTGGAAGAACGATTATTACAGAAAATATTGGGAAAGTCATTAAGTGACCAAGGCACAGTTGAGGTCCTATAAAATAGCCATTTGTCTGTATTATAATTAAGATGCCATCTCATTATTTATGCAGAACTGAAAGTCCATGAAAATTTCTAGTTTGAGAATAGAGTAACATCACATACACAGCAATGTCTCAGGAACTAGAAATGTGTCCAGTATCCAGTTCTCCTTCTGCATCCAGTTTTGCCAGTCAGTTTATAACAACCAGACACCAATAAAAATGCAAAGGCACTGAAATAACTGGCCACAAAACAATGCAAAAGCATACTATTCAGTGAAGCACAATTAATTACTAAATAAACATAAATATTTTAAATACTGAAAGCACTTTAAAACATATTCAGTGTAAACAGTCATTTGGACATCAGCTTGAATCAAACAGTTAACTGATTTCTAAATCCTTAACTAAAGGGCGAACATGCAATTTGTATGAGGCGAATTTTATTATAAGGGTACATATATTTTTGAACATTAAGTTGAAAACCAGTATTATATAAATCACACTTCTGTTGTGTGATGATGATGACTTCCTAGAAAGTCAAAACATGTAGACCAGAGCACAAAATAAATTGTAAACAGAAGAGAATTGACAACATGCTTGTCCTAATGGTTGCATTTCATAGAATTAATATTATTTATATGAAATTCACCCAAAAGTGAGCTGTCAGTAATGAAAAGTCTGCAGCCTTCAATAAATTGCTACGCTGTTTATCGAGTTATCTCTAATAAGAGACATCTTGAACCATTATACCTCTTAATACATAAGTAACAGATGTCCATCAAGTTTAACTAGTTTAATAGGAGTAATTACAATTTTTGCTTTCATATGTTTCAGCCACTCAGCAATTGATTTTTAACCAGTTACTCTTGATGTTCACAACTTATTTTAACTGTACTAACTATTTATATTTAGCCTTCATTTTTTGCACGTTTTGTACCTCCCTTTATGATACTACAGAAACAACCCATGCTCAGACAACAACAGATGTAAAGTAATTACTTCAGAGTGTTGGTTGTGCCTTCTGATAATAGTAAATAGCGGCTGAAATATGTAAAAGCAACCCTTTTACTTCCTTACACCTGTCAAATTACTTACACTTGATGACTTCTACTAATTCATTTATGCACACTTCACTATGACATAAAACCACAGCATGTGAAAGAGTATTCTAAAGGCATGTCCACATCACTCGTACTCGTGCTTGCCAGGAGACTCGTCTGGCTTTTACTTGTGCTCGTAAATCTTCGTCCACACTACTACAGTTGCGCGTGAGGATCCGTATATTTACTCGTAGTGTGTATAGGCTGTAGTCATATTTTAATTTATTGGCTATTGTTTTTAAATTAAAAATTTGCTTGTCTCGTGACTTGTTGTATCGTTCACACAAGCACAAGTAATGTGGACGCGCCTTAAGATTCACAGTAAATCAAAACCAATGACTGATGCACTCACCAACCCACATTTATATGACATGCCCTTTGAATACATGACACCAAATTTGGAAACTTTTATCACTATCATTTAAATAAACTATAGGGCCATAATTTATACAAGTGTGGGGCCCACTTCAATGTCATAAGATTAAGAGGAAAAAATAAGGATCTCTCAAGCCATTTATACTCTCCTAGTGAATTCACTGATGGAAAGAGGGAATTATCTGGATGCATAATCTGAATTCCAACAGTTAATTGTTAATACTGATCAATATAACATAACATTTGTCTTACATTAAAACAAGAAGGAAGGAACACATAAGCAGGAGTTCTCTACCTTTAAAGAACTGAAGCCACATTCACCTTTTCACAGACTTGCAGGCTGCTGGTCACAAATGAAAATTTTCTCTAACACCTTCACTCCCACCATCAAGCTTGCTTACTCCTGTAACAGGCTGTGGAAGCCTATAGGGTTGTGACACATCAAGACTCCCACATTTTCGAAACAGTCAGCCTTATGCACTGGCCACCCTTGACCCCCAGGAAGATTCCTGGTACTCATTTCTGTTAAAGGCTGAGTCAACCACAAGGCCATAGTGTGGCTGGAAGGATTGGGTCAATTTAAAAATCCAGTAACCTCATCAGGAACTTAACCCACAACCTTCCAGCCTGTAGCATAGTGCCTCAACCAACTACACTACTGTGCCCTGGTTACTTCACAGGTGTTATTTCCAAACTGCCACCGAAAGGTTCAGTCATTTAAAACTCATTTAAAACTATGTTTTGTCAAGGTGGATAAATTACTTTTCTGAAAGTGCTTTGAGCAACTACTTTCTCTGTCACCAGATGATGCATGTAACCATGTAACATATGCAGACCATTTGCTATTCACTGTCTTTATGCAAAACATGTCTAAACATGTTTGTGGGTATATCATACCTCGAATAGGCAGTCATACAGAGGCAAAGTCCTGTCTGTTCAATGTGATCTCCAGTGTTTTGGTTCCTCTCATGTGTAATTTTCTAATGACTTTACAACAAACAGTCCGTGCCACTGTCTGATGATGACACACACTCAGCGATGTTTCAGAGGTATGAGTGTGTCCATTGGTAGTGTACTGCAGGGCATAATGCAACTGAAGACGGACTGGCAGCAAAAACGTTAACAAAAACAGTCTTTCGTGCTTTGACTTTATTAATCTTTTTCAATGACAAATGTAATTCCTGTTGTGCACATGAACAACATGGTTCCTAATTTCATGTACCTCATTAATAACCTAAACAGCTGCTCACAGCAGTCAGTCCTGCATTAACAGTGTGTTTCCTGATTTCAAGATACTTTCTGAAAGAAACACATTCTGAACAGAAATCAGTGATGAGTCATGGAAATTTGCTGTTACACTGGATCAGTCTGAAATTTTGTCTTAGCCTGGCATCAACTTCCATGGAAAATTAATTTCAAAATCAGAAAATCTGTCATTAAATATTTTAATTTTGGTAGTTTCTTTCACTATAGAGGGTGATGCAACAAATGTATGCAGGCTGCAGAAAGCACAGTGACAGATCACAGGTTGAGAACCCCTGGTATAAAGTAAGCTTATGTTACATAGGTTACCTTTCTGTGGGGCATATTTATGACAGAATCTTCTGAAAATGCCCTAAGTATAAAAATTAACAACTCTAACTCATTTGAATGACTCCACAGTAGGACAAGAGGACAGTAAACCAACAGTAAAATGCAGAATGGTTCTTGATACTGACATTACCCTGGTCAAGGGAGTCATGCCCCTGTATGTGCGGACTGAGACATTTAGAGAAGCAGGTCACTAAACCTAGTAAAGGGTAGTCACTGTAATACAACTGGAAAACATGGAATGGAGTAGTTATCATACATTTAAAAGCAAATAAAATTATGTTTCCTTAAGTACTGAAGAATTAGTTACGCTGCCTACAAGATATACAAAGAGAATAAAAGTAAAGTCTGTCGTTTAGATTTCCATTTCAATAAATTTAAAGAAAGACAATCTATATATGTCATATGTGCGATAAAAGTTTCTTCTTCTTTTCTCAAAATTTTTATCACAGATATTTCCGTCACATGTCTAGAGTCTTTGGTCTGACTAGAATATTGTCTCCATCGACGCCAATTCTGCCTCCTTCGTTGTCACTAGCGTCGTGCTGTGGCTCGGATCAGTCGATCTTCCGTCCAGCATCACCACAGAGTTCCTCCATCCCACTCTTTCTAGAATGGACAGTCTGAATTACCATTAACAAAACCTGTACCAGTCATGAAATAATGTGAACTGAATTGTCGTAATGCAGTCATACCCAAATGTGCATTTTAAGTGTTCCTAGGCTTTTACACTCTCTTCGTCTCAAATTACATAACTACATTATCCTGTACAAAAACTGTTGTCATGTGAGATGTGATGCCATATAGCCTGATAAGAGATCAGCGTTTTGCAGGAGTGGGCAGCCTGTTTCCTCTCAGATGTCATTAAAATTCTACAGGACTACACTTCTTCATATCCCAGGAGACAACAGTCTTCATTGTAATGATCATGGGAATCTGAAATCCAATATCATCTATTCTGGCAGAAGTCACAGGAAGACGATGTTCAGCTTGGTACAAAAATATTGATCTGCTTCTTCAGAACTACTGACACTAAATGACTGAAGGTGACAGAAGAGGAGGAGGAACAGATGGAGAAGGGGAAGGAGCAGAAGAAGGAAGAGAAGTAAAAAGTTAACCTGCTACATGCCGCATGCTAGCTAGACATGGCTCCCAGCATACAACAGCAATCAGACTTTGTATGCAGCACACTGGAACCTTCTGATGCATACTTTATGATACTTTCATTGTCTGATCACCACGTTGAAGAGTGAAATGGAAAATATCCTAAAATACAAAAGGCGAACACCTGCTATTTGGTCATTAAGAATGTTAGCAGCAGTCACGAGTTGATAGTAGTTATGAACAGGAACAGATGATGGCAGAGGCAAATAATCTTGAACCAGTAACACAGGATCTACCTTTAATGAAAAAAGTTGATGATGTACCTCTAGATAGCAGCACTGCCTAGTGCATCTTGTTGTTCTGTTGTGTTTTGTATCTTAGTGTAAACGTACCTGTCTTTCCAGAAATTTTCAGGTTACTGAGGTTGGGTGCTTTTCATGACTTCCATTTTTATGGGCATGTACAGAAGCTGTTTTGTCAGGAGATACAGGGAGATCGAGAAGCCGCGCACATCACACTAAGCAATTATATTTTGCTGGTTTGATGCACAAACTACAAGACATACAGCACTTCCATTGATGTACACAGTGTGTCCAGGTTCTGATACGACTGCGTTCATTAAAAATACAAGTCGTGAATTATTTTCAAAATCTCACTCTTTTTATTCAAAATAGTCTCCTTCTGAATCAATAAATGGCTGGAATCGATTGAAAAGTTTTTTAAAACAGTCACTGTACTCCTTTTGTGGAATCGCATTTAAAACTGCGGTAGATTCCCTTTGGATGTCCTGGATGGTGTCATGACGGTCTCCTTTCATCGCCAACTTAACTTTTGGGAACAATCAGAAATCTCCTGAAGCCAAATCTGGCGAATATGGAGGATGATCAAGGACTGTGATACCTTTTCTGGCCAAAAAATCACGCACGATCTTTGATTTGTGGGGTGGGGCATTGTCATGGAGAAGCGACCAGGAACCTTGCTCTCGATATTCAGGTCGAATTTGAAGAATTCTCGCCCATAAACGATTGAGGACTCCGAAATAATAATCAGAATTCACTGTTTGACCTTCTGGTAAACATTCCTTGTGAATGATTCCTTTGGAATCGAAGAAAACAGTTAGCAGTGTCTTTACTCGACTCTTTTGCATGCGCACATTCTTCGGTCTCAACCACGCTGCACTCTGCCGCTCTGTTCATATTGAAAACACCATGTCTTGTCACCAGCAACAATCAGTTTTGTAAATTTTGTATCACTTTGGACCAACCATAACATGTCTTTGCAGTGTTCCACTCTGGCATGTTTTTCATCGTCTGACAGCGCGTGCGGTAAATACTGTGCACAGACCTTCCGTTTGCCCAAATCCTCGGTCAAAATTTGGGTGAACGCTGGGGCCACAATCCTTTTGAAATGAGACGGTCACCAAAAAACTCGCGCAAGAACTGTATGGTTTCATTTGATGTGTGAAATGTGGCACCATCTTGCTGCAACCAACACTCACGTTCATCAATTTCAAGAAGCGCAATAAACTGTGTAATGATGTCTTGGTACACTGGACTGTTCACTGTTGTTTCAAAGAAAATTGGGCCCACTATTCAACGACGTGATACAGCACACCACACTCCAATTTTCTGACAGTGCAAGGGCTTTTCATTTAACACATGTGGATTTTCAGATGACCAAATCCTATTGTTTTGACTGTTCACATAGCCACTAAGGTGAAACCACGCTTCGTCAGTGAAAAAACCCGATCAGACTCTTCAATTCCATGGTTTCCAACAAATGCCCTAAACCATCTACAGTACACTAAGTGTTTTTCTTCATCCAGGTCCTTCAGTTCCTGCACAGTGAACACGATATGCACAAAGGAATAACTTCTTCATCGCTTTCTGAGCACTTCCATATGAAATCTCTGATTGCGCTGATTGTCTCCTCAGGTTTTCTGAAGGGGAATGCTGCAACATTTTCTCCACGTCAGCCAGTTTAGCCTCAGTCAAAATGGCCGGTCTCCCGGATCTCTTCCTATCTGAAACTGATCCACATTCCCAAAATCGGTTGATTATTCTCATTATCGTCGAATCGTTAGGAACATCAGTATCCGCATATTCCTGACAAAACTTGTCTGCGACACGTGCATAAGAATGATTAGTGAAATAATGTTCCACGATGAAAACTCGTTCTTGGGAAAATGACATGTCTGTCACGCAATAAAGAAAGCTATACTGCAGATGTCGTATGACCAATACACGACAGATAGCGTTTCTACTCGTTGTTAGTACTCTTACAGTACCGTCTAACGGTAGGAGATATAATTATATTAACTGCAATACAATTTATAACAACTTTTAGTTTGATGTGCGCAACTTTTCGATCTCCCTGTATTATGCTTTAAGCTCAGTAATTATGTTCGTAGTCGAAGCAGGCTCTGGCTTCACAGAGACAATCTTAAATTAAGGAACATTAAATGGGGATTCCACTATATATTACTTTTCATTCTTAAATGCACACATTGATACAGGATGCCCAGATAAGTGACACAGTAAATAGAATTACAGTTCATTTACCTCCATTTTTATGCATCATACAGAACTAAACACTGGTGTTCTGCAGTAATGAAGAGCTGCTTTGTAATCTCTTATAAAACAGATTTTATTATGAGTTGTTTATTTCAGTCTTGACTCCCTTCATAGCATGTCCATTCAATTATACACTGAAATTGTTTCTGACAAGCCGTGATCGCATTCCATCAACAGATATTATCAAGAGTATACACCTTGCAGTCTGCAGAGGGCTCAGTGTTTTAGAGGAACACACTGCCACCGTCTTCAGCATAAAAGAGTAAGCCAAGCAAGAAACCAGCAGAAGCAGGCATAACCTGGCTCAGCTTGTAACTTGCTTCTGCTGGTTTCTCCTTTGGCTTTTTTTTTATTGCTAGTGAGGTGGAACTAAGTCCCTTGTACTGCGGCCACTTCAGGCCTATTGTACCAGCCCCAGATGATAGTTGAGGGTGATTATGGAGAAACTGGTGAAATGAAGATTGGCAGGGGAAACTGAAGTACTCAGAGAAAACCTGCCCCAGCGCCACTTTGTCCACCATAAATTCCAGACCCGGGATCGAACCGGGGCCACCACGGTTGGAAGCCAGCGACTAACTGCTTGAGCTATGGCATGGTGTTCCTTGGCTTACTGAAGATGNATTGTTACAACTGAGCTGTAATTGATGAAACCACTGCTCACAGCAGTGAACAGTACAACTGAAGGAGTTTTACAAGGCCATTCTACAAACCTGTGTTTGTCTTCATTTTTCCAGCTGCTGACTGCAATATGTGGCGGCGGCAGGAAGGAACGGAGAGACTGAACCAGCTGGATAGTGTCCACAAGAGCTGTAACAGCAAAACAGTAAATCTTATTGTTATGTGATCCGGATTGCGATGCCTTCTAGTCTTGATACAGGTACCAACATTTCAGAGGAACGTGTCTGTCTGACTGCACAGCACGACATCCCAGAGAACCATAACTTCCATCATTCTGCCTTCAGGATGGGGTGTCCAGTAATTAAAAGGAGTACTGAAACAAGTTGCAAAAACAGATTGTGCTCGTTAGCATAGACATTCAGTACATTACTAAACACCCTGTGTGCTGATGTGAAGTTACATTTGTGGACAGGCTAAGAGGCCAATCATTCTAATTTCTTTCACCCATTTAGTCAGACTCGGGCCCCAGAGATATTTAAATATGGTTTCCAGATATGCAGCACAAAACTTCAAACAGAACACATGGGACTGATATAGTGGTAGGACCTTTCGTCCTGACAGGAATTGATTTTCAATTGCATTTATACCATTATTCATGTGTCTTCATATGAGACTTGAGGTTCATGTGAGTGTGTGTCTGAATAATATTGTCTTCTGTACTCCGGATGATTCTGTCCTCTCTCTTCTAATACTCTTACAACTTTCCTTCCCTGCTTGACTTACTTTCCAAAACACTGGTATCTACCAGGCTAGATGGTGTCACATTCCACACAACAGTAATCTTGTTATGTGCCTTCAGTTTGCACATTATTTACACGTAGTTCAGTCGGGATAGCAATGGGCTATGAGCCAGACAGCTGGGGTTCAATACCCTGCAGGGATGAGAGATTTGTCTCTTCTTTACAGTGTCCAGACTGGCTCTGGGGCCCACCTAGCCTCCTATCCAGTGAGTACCACAGGCTCATTCCCAGGGTTTACAGTGGCCAGGATGTGAAGTTGACCGCTTGTGTCCTTCTAGTGCCAATGTCAACAATAGTGGAGCTATACCTCCATCCCCATACATTAATTAAGCACAAGGACAACATTAGAGGCACACAGTAGCATAGTTGGTTGAGGCATTATGCTACAAGCCAGAAGGCTGCAGGTTCAATTCCCATTGAGATCACTGGATTTTTCAATTGACCTGATCCTTTCCAGCCACATTATGGTCCTGGGGTCGTAACGGAAATGAGTACCAGGAATCTTCCGGGGGATCAAGAGTGGCCGGCTGGTGCATAAGGCTGACAGTCTAGAAAATGTGGGAGCCTCAACATCTCACAACCCTATGGGCCTTCATGGTCTGTTACAGGGACAGCTTTATCTTTACCAAGGACATCCTCTGTTCATACTGTCTCACTGTGTAAACAGTGTGCACTGACTGTAGCATGCGGAGCTTGTTTGATGACATGCTTACATTTTCATTTATATTACAGTGTGGTTTCAGTTCCAAATAACCACAAAAAAACAGCCACCAAATTTAACACTGAAGAATATACGCTCATGAATATAGCTCCATTTTTATCACCGAGCCTCTAAAAATAGCTTACATTTTATAAGAATTACCTAAACTGAAACAGAGTTGGGTAGACCAGTTTTACGATGAACGGGGCTGTTTTCTGCTGAACACTTGAGACATACAGAGACATGCTACAATTCCTTGATCATTCCTTTTCTTGTAAGACAACTGTCCTTCTCATACATTTCTGTCACAAAAGTTCAGTGGGGTACTGTTGTTCTTGTGGTGATGAACATACAGAGGAGTCCCGTCTTCTGGAGTATAACACCATGTAGTCCATTGAAACTCAACCAATGTTTTGGAGGAACAGAAAGAGCTCTGCTTGCTACCTGCTTCATGCTGGTTCCTTGCTTGGCTTATTCTCTGACCCTGAAGATGGAGGTAACTTGTTCCTCTGAACATCAGTCGACTTTAAAAGGACTATAGTATTATACCTCAAAAGACAGGATTCTTCATAACCGCTGATGTTGGAACCTTGAATTCTATGTGCACCTACAGGCTTTGTGGTATGTACCTGTTTTAACTCCTGAGATCCTCATGTTGAGTGTAACTCATTTCAGTGTTAAAATGCCATGGTACACACCACTCATGCAACATGTCTTTGATTTCAAAGCAAAACTGATTATGTTGTTAACAATATCTCCATAGATGGCAGCACCCATCAAAACCTGGGTGCTGTTAGAACAGTGAACGAAACACATGCTTACCATAAAATAATGAGAAATCTGATACCCCTACATGAGCTATTTGCAAGCTCTGGGAATTGTGGTGTCCATCTTAAATACAGTTCTTTAGCTCACAATGTGCTCAGGAAAAAAATGGCTGAAGAAGGCTAACACAATTGCATCAAGAGTATCACAGGACACATACTTCATGTCACACAGTGTTCCCTCCGTCCATTTTCTGAAATGTGACCCCTTGTAGTTTGGCAGATAGGTACCAATATTTTAAAGGAACCTCCTGTCTCCATCTTCAGGGTAGAAAAATCCCAGCCAGTTTAAACACCATGTCATCACATCTTAGAAGACTGAAATTTTCACTGCGAGACCTTCAGGTTTCATATTCCATCATTCACACATTGAACCCATCAATACCAACCGGTACCAGTATGTGTGTGACTCTTGACAGGCTCTTGCAATAGACAGAATAACTTGCTAAGTGTTCAGACCATTTGACTTATTCCAGTGACCAGATCTGTTAACACTTTGTGGACTAGTGGCATATTATTATGATTTTAGGACACGTTACGTTGAAACACACTATACCTTGCACTGGTGCGTGATAGACCTCTTGAATGTTTGCTTCGTAGTCAGTAACATGACCCTGCTGTTTTCGTTTCCCACCCCAAAAGAAAATGCCTTTGTTCATCTTCCAGCTGCATGAACCAGGCATGAAGTTACTAGTGCAAAATGGATCAAGGTCGGAAGAGGTTGAGGTCCAAGCGTTTTCTCGGAGAACAATAAATATCTGACTTGTTCTCCGATGAGCTATCTGATGTTCCTTGTGAGTCTGCTAGTGATAGCGACTCACAATCTGATAGTGAGTGTGGCAAGGGCGAACAAAAAATTGTGGCCAGACAGTGAAAGTGAAAGTGACCGTAGCTCCGACAAAAGTGCGAGTAGCAACATTGCGGGGACAGCCACATGGGGAAAAGTAGACAAAACGCCTGCTTTGGGACAGTTTACTGGAAATCCAGGGGTGATGCAAATTCCATCTGACCCAACGCAAGTGTCTGAAGTAGAAAACTGTTTTTGGAGATAGTTTCTTTGACATGCTATGTCAGGACTGGGTGACTCTCGGGTGATATGCGGAAACATACCCTCGTGAAAATTGTGAAGAGTGAACATGCCAAGGGGAAGCAGCCTTCTAGGCGATGTTGTATTTGTGCAGTACACAACAAAAGGAGTATGACTGTCTACATGTGCAAGTTCTGTGTAATGCCACTTCACAAAGGGGAAAGTTTCCAGAAATATCACACTCTCAAGCACTTCAAGGAGCATTGGTAAGTGTTCTCCAAAAATTTTAGTTCATAAAATTAATTAGGCGATTTTATATTAATATTTAAATTGAACAGTGCACAAGTTAGGGTAGTAGGTTTAAAAATGCCAGTCTTTAGGGTGATTTAAATATTTAAATCACTGGTCTGCAAAGTGTTAAAAGTGGAATATGTGTGCTTGTGAAGACAGATTAGAATCACATTCAGAGAATGGATGTTTGTGTTCATATTCATAGTATCCATCTTGACCACATTGTGTGAGAAAGGAAATAATGATGAGATTCTGAAGGGTTCTGACCATGGTGTATAACACTCAGAATTATTGTTTTTTTTTTCTTGGACTTTGTTCATCATAGAGAGGAAGTGGAAAACAATGTATCTTAGTTTCAAGTCTGTACATGCATTATCACAATCTGTATTATACATTTTCCTGTTATCTTTTGTTGACAAACCCTGATCTCAGGTGTGTGTATGTATGTATGTATGTATGTACATGTATATATATATATATATAGCTGTAGTTATACTGACATAGGCTGTCCAATGATTGAGGTTAGTTCTTTCTAATGAACCCATCAGATGTCTTCTGCCCCCTAACCTGAGGATTGAAACAGATCCAGTTTCTGAAATGTTATGTTTTTGAAAACACCAGATGATGGACAAAGCCCAAAATCTCAGTAATGCCAAGGAAAATACTGGTTGCTTTACAGAGAGAAATAGTGTACTGCAAGTTTTAACTGAGGATTCATTAATGAATGGTTTGTCGGTAAAATCCCTATAAGTGTATCATGTTTTATGATATACGTTGAAAGTGGCATTCTCCTGTATTTCATCTGTTGAGGTAGATTGATGGATGACACTGTTCAGTATTACCGTGCTCTAAGAAATGACTCGCAGAACTATTTGGTCAAACAATGCAATGGAAGTTATGTACTTGTTACAAAATACAGCAAGCAGCATACATTGTACTGAACAGTTTATTTTCCTAAATTTAACTCCAGTTTCAAGGCACAGCTGCAGAACAGGAAGTGTTTGTGTCTCTGTAGGCTGAACCACTGCAAAGATATAAGAAACATTTGACACACTCACTGAATTTCACTTTATAAATTCTCCAAAGTATTAGTCCAGAATGTTATGTTGAACAAGTAATGTAGGAGAAAAAAAGTGAAGATGGAAACATCAACACGCCAGTCCAACAGAGCACAGTGTTCTCACCCCAAAATACAATCAGAAGTTTACATAACTAATCCACACTTTCAGGAAATGAAACCTGGATTTTCATTCATGAAATCACAGACAGTAATCTTCAGAGAATGTCACATCATTGTGAAATATGTTTAAATGCAGAGAGTATCACTTTTGGCAGCCACTCTAAAAGCATGGTATGTACAGGGTGTACCATGTAAAATGCAACCTAAAATACAACAGCATACTTCCTTGTCAAGGTACACAGTGTTTTATATTTCATAAACAGCAGCAAATAATATGATAACAAACCATTCATTTACAAATGGATTATTGTTCCTTGCAGTATATTCTTTCCTGCAACACTTGCAATAAGATCATATAGTGAACTGGTGCATTATGCATCACTGTCCCATCATGTGACCTCCATTAGCCCCTCTATGAACAAATGCAACCTTACATAAACATGAAAGTTACAATGTACAATTTTACAGGCGCTTTTGTTGTTTTGTATCTCTGTATTTGTGATTTGTAAACATTTGTGGTACGTGTACTTGGTAAGCACTGTTAAACTAATAAAATATTATATTTAAGGGAGGAGGTGGTGTAGGTGAAGATCCTACTAGAACTGTCCAAACAAGGAACTGATACTTGAACTGCTTGACTTGGCCACATCATGATTATAAACTGTGACAAACATGTTTTCTTAAACTGACACAAATTTTGCACATTTCTCAACATCATTTTGGCTAAAGAAACACACTCCACAAAGTGGCTGTGCTTTCATCATCAGGTAAAAGGATGAAATCTGCTTTTTGGGTGCATCAGATGAACCTGATCTCTGTATATGTATGAATTACAGTACCTTGATTAATGGTGTCTTACAAAAGTCACTTGGTTTCATGAAACAAGTTCCCAGGGAACTAAATCTTCATTCAGCTAGAACCTCACAGTCACTCAGGATGTGTCCACTAAGGTAATCCTCCCTGAACATGTTCATTTCCAGATATATGTTTTGTCTTCACAGCAACACTGAACACACAAGTATTATCTTACCCTGGATGGAGGGTAGCTCTATCTAAATGGGCTCAAGAGTATGTTTCTCACTTTTACCTGATGACTGAAGCGCTGTGTTCTTTCACCAAAAATGACATGTTGGAAAATAGACTTGAAAGGATTCTGACGATGGTGTATACTGTACTTCTTCTGGCTTATTTTGGACTTCATCCATCATCTGGCATGTAAAAGACAAAAGACCACAACGTTTCGGAGACTGGATCTGTCTCTGTCTTCAGGTGGGTAGGGAAGGATAAAACCTACTCAGGTGGGCCTGTTAGAAAGAGCTAGTCTCAATCACTGGAGTGACT